AGCCCTGCTTGGGATTCTCTCTCTCTGCCCCTCTCCCACTCACGCTCACTCACACTCTCTCTGCCCCCCCCCAAATAAATAAATAAAGTTTTAAAAATCAACAAAAAGAAAGAAAATCCTGATGGATGAACCTTGAGGACATTATGCTAAGAGAAATAAGTCAGTTATGAAAAGACAAATAGTGTAGAATTCCTAAGGTGCACAGAGTAGTCAAATTCACAGATTTTTTTTTTAAGTGATGAATGCTGTAACCTCCATATGTGTTATAGTGTGGGAATTTTATGAAACTTCTTTCATCTATGTAGTACACATTTATTGAGTACCTACTGTGAGCTAGGCAGTATCCTAGGTGCTGAGATACAGCCACGGACAAGTGTAGCGAGGTTCCTAGTGTTTGGATCCTCCAATGCGATGGGAGAAACACAGACTATAAACGGGTCAATACATAATTAATTTGAAAAGTTTTGGTAGTGATAAGTTCCACAAAGAAAACAAATCTGGGTGATGTGATACTGAGCTGACTGGGCACCACTTTAAATTAGACACCAAAAGTTACATATTTTTTACAACTTTGGGCACAAAGGCTAGAAAAATCACTGTTGGGCTAGTTGCCAACAAGGTAACCTGATGCTAATATCAAAGGGACCCAGTTCAGCTCAGGCTGTTTTAATGCTGTTTTACAATAGAGAATGATTATAATTTAATTTTTGATCAGTTATTTTTTATTCTATAACCTACTGAAGTGGATTGGCCGTTGAAAGACTAGTGACAGTGTTTAGGGCCTTCGTCTGTGGAGAGTAAAGTATAAGGACCTTGTATAGGGACTCTGAGGACACCTCTGGGAACCTCTTGGCCTGCTGAAGTCTGTAACGTGACTTCCAAGATAAGGCACTGCGGAAGACTGGGATTTTGTACTAGGTGTTATCTGTGAGCCAGTCTGTGAAGGCCGACAGAACACCTAGCCTTAGTCCCTTTAGAATTAATGGCTGGGAACTCACTATTCATCTGGAAACCTAGGGCACTGGAAATAGAGTCTTGTCTTACCATAGGGCCCGTCTTCAGAAAAGAAAGCTATTATAGGGTCTGGGGATCAGCTTACACTGACAGGTACTAATCTTAGCAATAATTCATTCCAGGCCACGATTTGTGCTTTGTGTCTCACTCAGCCTTACGGTGAACTTTGGAGCCCACAGAACAAAGAGCTCAGGTCTATAATTAGATACTACACTAAGTGCTATCATTTCTTTCTCTCATTATCATAGAGAGTTACCCCCACAGGGCTCCACTTCATCGTCCTAAATATCTGGAGCTATCCTATATTTCCTTGTTTTCTATGCTGAGGATTAGTAAGCATTCAAGCAACAAACCAGCAAATTTCTTTACGGAGATGCGTTGACAACCGGTTTTGGCCAGACAGTCATCTGTAAGACCAGTCTGTGGATACGATGTCTAAGAATGCAGGACAGAAGGAGATACAATTGATTTGTGAAGTGGATACGGTAGCCAGGCTCTAAGATGGATTTCAGGGCAGAACAGAACAAGAGGAAAATGACCCCTGCCCTCAAAGAATTTACAACCTAGCTAGACAACCAGGTGACTCAAGTAATGAGGAATTGTGGCAGGTGCTATAATAGAAAAGGGTGTATGGCAGGACCCAATAGGAAAAGTTAACTCAATCCAGGAGACTGAGAAGCCCTCCCAGGAAAAATGGCATTTAAGCAAAGGTCTGAAGGGTACCTTGGGGTTGGGAAAGGGCAGGCAGGACTCTAGGAAAAGAAAACAGAAGAGGCAAAGATCTTGGGACAAAAGGGAACACAATGCTTTGGAAAAGAATGGGGTAAAAATCCAGTTTTGGGGGGTAATGGTGTGAGAAGGAGATAGGGAGAAGGGAGATGGGTAGGAGTGGGTAGCTGGGGCCGCATTGTAGATGGCATTAAAAGCAGTTAATTTAGGCACAAGATTCAGCTTTGAAGGCCGGTGTGGCTAAGAGAAAGGGAGAGAGGAAGCACGGGTGTAGGAAACGAGTTAGAAGCCAGTTTAAGGGAAGATGGGAGAACGTCACAGGCTTAGGTAGAGGCAGTGGGGAAGGCTGAGGAATGGAAGGGCAGGAGACAGATATAGGAGGCAGAACATACCGACTCTGGCCCTCCCAGGTCACACAGCCTGGACTTCATTCAATCCACACAGGAATCTACATGAGAAGGTGATTCAGATCCCATAAAGTCTTTATGAAGTCTCTTTGCTGTCCTATACAACAAAAAGTTAGGCTCCAAGGTAAAGGCAAACTGTGAAATGCATTCAAAAGAAAAAATATCCTCTCAGAGCTGAAAAAGATTTCAATTGTGGTTTTTGTTTTTTGTTTTCTTTTTGGCTGCACTGGCTTTGTGCCCTATACTTCCCTAAGCCTAAGAACTCCGTGGGGCTTGTAAACACAAATGTCATCACATTACCCAGAGGAGTCCCATTCAGTGGGAATCTGTGTTCTCCCTAAGTGATGGCCCCAGGTGATCTTTAGTTCAGACAAATTAGGGAGCTGCTGGGCCATGGGAGACACGCTGATATTCTCTTGTATGTGGTCTTTATTATTGGACTCCACTTACACAAAACTCTAGAAAATGCAAACCAATCTATAGAGACAGAAAGCAGATCAGTGGTTGCCCGGAAATAAGGGTGGCAGGCGGAGATGCGAGGGAGGAGTACCCAGGGCAGAAAGAAACTTCTATAGGTAGTGGATAGGTTTGCCATCTTGATTAGGGTGATGGTTTCACAGGTGTGTGTACATGTTGAAATCAAGGCTGGGGCAATATTCTTGCAGGTATTGGGTGTCCTGATTCCAACACCTGTATCTGGAGGGGCAAGGATGCCTTGTTGGTATATCTAGCCAACCCACAAATCTCAGACAGGAATGATTTTACCAGTGAAAGAGTATTAGTAACAGGAACTATGTTCATCATCAAAGTCTCTGGAGACTGGAGACAAACATAGGTAAATAGCTGAAGACAGCTGAAGTGTGTATATTCTGGAGTGTGACTTTGACTCAAGGCTCTCTAATGTCATCTAATCACCGTTAGAGCAACTTAGAAGGTGGGAGCAATCAAACTGTGCATCAAAGGATGAATGGATAAACCAAATGGGGCATATGGATACAGTGCGATATTATTTAGCCATACAAAGGAAGGAAATTCTGGTACGTGCTACGACATGGATGGATCGTAAGGACATTATCCTAAGTGAAATGGGCCAATCATAAATACTATATGATTTCACTCATATGAAGTGTCTTTCGTACTCAAATTCACAGGGACAGAAAGTGGGATGGTGGTTGCCGGGGCTGGAAGCCTGAGGACCGGTGGTGGGATGGGGAGTTTTCGGCTGATGGGTAGAGTTTCAGTGTGGGAAGATGAAAAAGTTCAAGAGATGGTTGGTGGTGAGAGCAACATAACAGTCTGAATGAGCTTAATGCCGACAGGCCGTGTACTTAAAAATGGTTAAGATGGTAAATTCCATGCCATGTGTATTTTACAACAACTTAAAAAATACTTTAAGTTTATTTATTTTGAGAGAGAGAGATCAGAGGGGAGCAAAGAGAGAGGGAGAGAGAGAACCCCACGCAGGCTCCTCGCTGTCAGTGCAGAGCCTGACGCGGGGCTCAATCTCATGAACCAGGAGATCACAACCTGAGCCAAACAAGCATCAGCTGCTTAACCGACAGAGCCATCCAGGTGCCCCTAAAAAAAAATTTTAAGACATGAGACGTGATTCCTTTCCCTGGTATTATCCACTCTAGAATGCTCAAAATTGTTTCACATCAACACTTAACTTTGGTTTTTAGAAGTATGTAGTTTTAATTTTAACCAAGTATAAAGGTAGTGCAGTTCCATTGTAAGAAATAGGGGAACTGAGAAAAATATTAAGAAGAATTTTTAGTAAAATGTAAGATCATGACTCTCACACAAATATAAAATGAACAGGTGTCAAAGATGTTGTTTACTTTATTATTAGTAAGAGAAGAAGTATGTTACATTGACAGGTAAACAGCTAACATGAATTTACAAATTGGTCAGTATCGACTAGGCAATAATCACTTAGGTTCTACTGACACAAACTTACTTGCATTAGGATCCTGTGGTAGATACAACTGAAAAGTGTGCTAGACAGGACACCCAGTAGCACCCTTCCCTTGTTTGGTCTCTTCAAAATCTTCCACGGGGCTAAAACAACAACAACAACATCATCATCATCATCATCATCATCATCATCATCATCATCATCATCCTTTGGAAACCCTCATCCCAGGAAAACACTCCCTTTGATTCTTTTGAGTCAAACTTAAACCGGAGCATGAAGCTTTTACGAATCACACTGAGCAAGCACACTGAGCAAGTGTTATTAAGCAAATGAAGTGCCTTCCCGGACGCCCTACTCGAGCGGACCCTCCGTGCGCACCTGCCGGCGCATCTCCCGAAAGGCAGGGAGCGATGGCACCGCCCACTCGGCCTCGAGCGCCCGAAAGGCAACGGCTCAAAACTTGGAGCTGACACCGGACCCCGCCGGGAGCGGAGCGGGGAGAGGCTGGCTGCACAGGGCCCTCGGGCGGGAACGGGAGAGACTCTGGCGAACCCAGATCGGCCGCGAACGAGGGCAGCGGCGCGGCCACCGAGCCTGGTGGGGCCGTCCGGGCGGCGCCGCCTCTTCCCTCCCCCGCGCTAGGCCGGCGGGGCCGCGGAGCCGCGCGAGGAGCAGGGGCGGGGCGACCTTTGCTCCGTCCCCGGAGACTGCGGGGCGGGGTGTCGGCGCCGCCCGGAGCCGGCCGCGCGCGAGGTTCCCCGCCGCCTCCCGCTCGCACCCCCTCCGCCCCTCCCACAGGGACCTGCTTGGCCGCGGCGGCCGCCTCCGGGCGTCCGCACTTCGGCCCTCGGTTTCGGTCAGACCCGCCCGCCAGCTGGTTTCGATTGGGGACGGGAGGCCGGAGCGGCCGGGACGCGCGGAGGGAAGCAGAAGCGAGCCGCGGAGTGGGGACGGTCCGGCGCCGGAGACAAAGGGCGCACGGGAAGGAGCGGGGCGCCCGCGCTCACTTCGGGGGCCGGGGGCGCAGGGGCGGCCAAGGAGGCAGGTGCGGGCCCCGGGATGCGGACGCCGGTGGTGATGACGCTGGGCATGGTGCTCGCGCCCTGCGGGCTGCTGCTCAACCTGACGGCCACGCTGGCGCCCGGCTGGAGGCTGGTGAAGGGCTTCCTCAACCAGCCCGTGGACTTGGAGCTGTACCAGGGCCTGTGGGACATATGCCGCGAGCAGACCAGCCGCGAGCGCCAGTGTGGCCAGCCCGACGTGTGGGGCTACTTCGAGGCCGAGCTCGTGCTCGTGGCGCGGGGACTCATGGTCACGTCGCTGGCCGCCACGGCCCTGGGGCTGCTGCTGGCGTCGCTCGGCGTGCGCTGCTGGCAGGAGCGGCCGCGCTTCGCGCTGGCCGGCCTCTCGGGCGTGGTGCTCTTCGCCGCCGGCCTCCTCAGCCTCATCCCGGTCTCCTGGTACAACCACTTCTTGGAGGACCGCACCGTCCTGCCCGCCGACGCCAGCCCGGTCACGGTGCACGTCAGCTACAGCCTGGTGCTGGGCTACCTGGGCAGCTGCCTGCTGCTGCTGGGCGGCTTCTCGCTGGCGCTCAGCTTCGCGCCCTGGTGCGAGGAGCGCTGCCGCGGCTGCCGCAAGGCGCCCCCTGGCAGCCCGCGCCGCGGCAGCATCAGCACCGTGCACGTCGACTGGCCCGAGCCCGCGCTCCCGCCCGCCATCAAATACTACAGCGACGGCCAGCACCTGCCGCGGCCCGCCGACCTCGGCGCCGCCCGCAAGCCCAGGGTCGGCTTCCCCATGCCGCGGCCTCGGCCCAGCGCCTACACCAACCCGGTGGACGTGCTCCGCGGGGAAAGGGCCGACACCCCCGACGCCTCCTTGCCGAGCACCGGGTGCTGCCAAGGCTCGCTGCCCTGCGACTCCGACCTGTAGACGGCGGCCCCCCTACCTGCCCTGGCCAGGCTCTGCCGGGACAGAGGACTCGCTCCACCATGTCCAGCCTTGAACTTGTCTGTTACCTTGTAGCCGGAAACACCTGGCTCAGAGTCTGAACCTGGACACGTTCCTGTAACCGGTTTGGAGGGTGATGTTCCTTTCTTGTGGCCAAACTAGACTCCTTGGACAATTAGTTCAGGGTTTGTTTGGTTTTCTTTTTGTACAGTTTAGTCTTCCTCTCCAAGGGATCAGGGTCCTCATATGGAGTGACGCGTTTTTCATACTTTAAGCTGAAGGAGATATAGAAAGGGTGCTTTTGCCTCGTGTTGACGTGGGACAATAACAAAACGTCAAAATCCGCAAACAGAGGCCCCAAAACCCTGTTTTAACACCTCGAAACAGTATCCGGAAATACCAGTGAACCTTACATCAATATAATTTTTTTTTCTGCTGTATATAATTTATTCTTATGCAAACTCTCAAGAGACCAATATACTGGCTATGTTTGAACGAAGCTCTTAAAATAAATGTAGAGCCATGCAAATACCGGCAGTTTTTGTGGCTTTCATGGAATAACTTGTTTATTTACATTTCTCATATACATATTAACTCATATTTACATTTCTTAAAGTATGCATAGGATTTGTCTTTATTACTTTTTTTTTTTTTTGGTGGTCACTGCAGAGTTTCTGTATTAGAAGCCAGGTGGGATTGAACAGACTAACCTTATATTGCTCTATTCCTTGGCTACCTCACCCTGGACTTAGAGGACCATAAATTAAATATTTGGTACCAAGTGGAACCCATTAATCACATCGGATTAAGGAACATGGGCATAGATCTCTTATTTATGAATAAAAGCTGAAAACGAGTTTCAGTATATTCCCTCAAGCTGTTTTGTCTCCAGTACAACCTTTAGGAGTTTAATCATTCATTGCTAACAATTTCCTGGCTGCTTAAGCACTGTTTCTGAAATCTAGCACTCAGATCTTTGCCCCTCTTAGCATAGGATTACTAAAAGGAGCCAATGGGGCCGCCCCCCCCCCCCCCCACACACACACTAAATCCCTGATTGCTTTATTTTCAGGTTTGGGCTGGTTTCTGGGCAAAGCCAGGTCTATTGTTGAAAAAACTAGAAGCACCAGTTTCCGACACAAAGTGAGCCTAGAAATCTTTTCCTCTTGTAACAGCGGTGCCTAAAATCACAGGTAGGCTGCTAAGTGTTCCATGAGGGAGACTAAATCTCCAACAGGGCCAGCTCTCATTTCAAGCTGTTGATTTAAGGGTGCCTTTTACTGAGCCGAATCTCATCTTTAAAATTTACCCTTGGCATCCAATTCAGAGGTAGGAATGTTCAGTTCAGTAGTGAACTGGTAACAGAGAACTGTACCGTAAGTAACTAAACGGCACCTGCTGCTTATTAGCAGTGGAAAGGATAATATAAATTCGCTTCCTTTGCCATTTTGTACCAGAATCACCTGTTTTTTGAGATCAAACCTTAAAGTGCAGGTGTATCATTTGGTGACCTCTTTCAAATGCAAATTCTCATTGAGTAGGTCTGGAGTGAGGCCTGGAACTGATTTCCTAAGGAGCTCCCAGGAGGTGCCAGAGCTGATGGGAGGCCCCCACTTGGGGCTGCAAAGGCTTTCGTTGGGACTGTGCCTGGCTCAAATTGCAATCCTTCCCAACTGGCAGCACAGAATCAGACCTTTGAGAGCTTGCCCCCTAGGAGAGCTAGGGCACTTGCTCCAGGGAATGGGGCCCAGATGGAGAAAAGGCAACACTGCTTTCTCAGCTAACACCTCAAAAGGCAGGGATTAAGGGCCTGGGAAATCAGGACCTAGCAGACAACAAACATAAAGATACTGGGTTTCTAGCAAGTATTGAATTCACTGAATCCTGCCTGCATAATAATTCCAAATATTTCTTAGAGAAGCCTGAGTGGAAACAAAACTAGTGTTTTGTATGTTTTCACTTTTCCTCCCTGCCCAAGTATTCTCCTGTGGCTTATATTCAAAACAGTTCCCTTCTGGTGATTAAGACTTTGTTTTCAAGAATTAGAGCTCCATTTTTGCCCTAGCACAGAAATGAAACCAAAACTGCTTTTAAAAATGCAAACTGGCTTTTGCTATAAAAATATTCAAGAAAGCCTGGAAAGGCACTCCTGCATCAGGCTGGGATCTGTTTGGAGACACACGGGTCATTCTGTGCCACAGCAGCATAAACAGACAATGGCTTTGACACACAAGACGCTGGACCAGGCTGGAGCCTCAGGAGTGGCTGTTGTGGGCCTGAACTTCTCCTGAACTTCCTATGGACTAGCCAGGCGATCTCCCCACAGGGAAGACACTAATGGGGAACAGCACAGCCGCTCTGCCTCAAGCCTCCCCCTCCCCCACCATCATGTACCAACATAGCTTGTTCTGAATAATCCCAATCACATACAAAGTATGTGTCCCCAGTTACTGGCTGAAGTCTTCTCAAGATTACTCCAATTATGCCTGGAGGGCGGGAAACACGTGGAAGTGGAGGAGATACTGTGTTAACAGGCTTCCGGCTCTACCTGTTCTGCAGTGAGGCTCTTCTGGGAGCATGCCCTCACTAAGGAGGGGTGAGGTTTTAGCACAAGCTGTCGAGCCTTTGTGGAGGCTGTAGGAGGGCCGTCAGCGATGCTTTGCAAACCACCCTCCACTGCACAGATCGTCCAACTGATAGTTTTGGGGATGCTGGTCATCTCGTCAGCACCTTTGTGGACACTTTGGAAAACCACCGTTCCAGGCTCTGCGTTTGTGGAACTTACACACTCTAGCAGGAGAGCTGTGTACAAGGAAAATGAATAACAGACCAGAGCCAAGGGCTGGGGGAAAAAAAGAGTGGGATTTTAGGAAAGGCAGCCAGGAAGGGGGTGATGGCTTGACCGGAGAATGGAAAGAAGGGAGAGGGGAACGTTGCAGGCTGAGAGAACAGTGATGGCGCAGCAGTCCAGGCACCAGGGTGGTTTGCTTCTGTCTCACTTAGAACAATCTGCTAAGGACAGGAAGAAGTAGGAGGTACCTTTGAGCAAGCCTTGGGAAATCCTGCCCTCTCCCTGTTGTCAGGTTAACCGCTTCTCTAGGAGGGAATACAGTCTGGAACAAATGTAGTCTTTTACAGAACGTTGTCCGAATCAAGGGGCACCTGGGAGGTTCCATCGGTTAAGTGGCTCACTTGGTTTCAGCTCAAATCAAGAACTCACGTTTTGTGAGCTCAAGCCCTGCGTCGGGCTCTGCACTCCCAGAATGTGTTCAGAATCGAATACGATTCAGTTTGTGACTAACTGGTGAGAAACATCCTGTTCTGTTGATGTATATAGATAGCCCACAATGCAGCAGGCAGAGAAAGACATTTGAATCTCAGGGCCACATCACATCCCCAGGGTTCTGGATCTTACCCCCGTATCTTAAAATGAAGACCTGTCAATCATGTCTTTAAAAGCCTCAGGATGTTCCTTGTGTGTCATCCACTCTTAGCTTAAATGCCATTCATGGCTTGGCCAAGGCCTGTGTTTTTTCATAGTTTTCCCCTGTCCCATCACACCCTAAATGGCTGCTCTCCCCCATCAGCTTCAAGGTGTCCTATTTGAACACATCATCCACATGTTCAAGTGTGCCGTTTTCTTGGGGTACTTTCCTGTTTCACCTCTAAATTGAAGGTAAGGGCGTGGTTTCTATGCATTTTTATAGTCCCAGAATGGGTACTAACACTTGTTCAGGGCCTGTTAGCAATTTATTAAGTTAGGGGTGCCTGGGTGGCTCAGTTGGTTGAGCGTCTCACTTTAGCTCAGGTCATTATCTTGCGGTGCATGAGTTTGAGCCCTGCATTGGGCTCTGTCCTTACAGTTCAGAGCCTGGAGCCTGCTTTGGATTCTGTGTCTCCCTCTCTGTTCCTCCCCTGCTCACAATCTCGCCATCATTATTCCAAATAAAAGCTTGTGTAAGGGGCAAGGGAGGAAAAAACAAAAACAAAAACACAACGTGTGTGCAATTCTCATCCAGTCTTCCCAATGACCTCCACCCACATTCCTCTCTCCCCACACTGCAAGCTGTGAAATGAGCCCCTCCAGTAAATCTCCATTACACAGGACTGAACACAGGAAAACAAGGGCTTTGGTCCAAATCAAGGAAAATACAGACAAGGCGTTTTGGAGTGGGGGTGGGCGTAGGGCCTGGGAGAGGCAGCGCTGACTAGGGGGTTTATTCTCCCGTGTTGGTGTGTGGAGAGGAGGGCTTAAACCTTGAGGTAGACGCAGTTCTACAGCACTCTTGTCCCACCAGCCTGCCCAACACGTCTGACAGGGAGGCGGGCGCCGCTGGGGGGTTTTGGGGTAACGGTGGGGTTTGGAGCTGATGGCCAGGAAAGAATTCTTGAACATGTCTTTGGTGCAGAAAGGTGATTTTATTAAAGCACGGGGACAGGGCCTGTGACAGAGCTACATGGGGGTTGTGAAGAGTGACTGGTTATATGCTATGGAGTTGGGAGGTAAAGTCAAGAGGAAGTTTCTTAGAGGGATTTCCATATGCTAAAGACTCACATTACTGGAGGCCTTGCTATTGTCAAGCTAAGGTCAGTTTTTTTTTTCCCCTCTAGCAAAGCATTATGATTAAGACCTAAGAAATGGTATAGTCTGTATTTGCCTCAAGTATTTGTCAATGGGCTGCAGGTTATGAGGAAATTTAACTTAACCTTCCAGTTCCTTCTTGCCTTTTTTTCCCCCCATCACTATGGAGGGGAGGGTGATGTTGGGGCTTCACAAGCTGAGTCTGTAGGTTTCTGAAGATTAGGCTATGGATAAGATTGCCTTTTTCTTATAATTTACTAAGATATTTGTGAACTGATGGAGACTCAGATCCTGCACGACTGTGATCTCTATCAGGTAACCATTGGCTTTCTTTCCTTTCCTTTGTTCTTGGGCAGGCAGGGGTCCCTGAGGAATATCCCACGTAACCCACCTGGGGGGATGGGTGTGCTAGCTTGTGCTTGGCCCTCCGCTTGTCTTATGCTCCCTCATCATAGCCACATTCATAAACCAGCGTGAGGTCCAGGCACAGAGCCAGGCAGGGCAGGCCAACTCACCGGTGAGGAGCACCTCTGCCATTCAACATGGCCACCACCGCTCTCCCCCAACCACCTTGGCTTCCAATCGTGCCAGTGCCCCCCAAAGAGCTGCCACTCATCACAGGGCTGAGGGTCCCCGCAGTTTTACTAGAATTGGGGGGGGGGGGGCGGCTGGCATATGCTTCCTAATAACGTAAGGAACCTGCCCTTGCTGGACTTTGGCTTTCTTGTCTGTACAACGGGGAAGAATGGATTTGATGTGATCAGAGGGCCTTTCTAAATTTAGTATCTTGAGAGTGAAAGGTAAGAGTTAGGTGCAGTGAAGAGGAGAAAAATAAACAGTGAAGGTTTAGGAAGCTCATTGACCTGTAAATTGCCTGATGGCAACTAACTCCATGTTCTGGCTCTTGGTTTCTCTTGAATTTCAGAAGGCTTTCAGCAGTTAAAATAGTAGGAACTTGATGGATCCCTCCCATTATCAATGATCCCCCATTTATTTCCTAAAGAGAGTATACAGTGTTTAACTGCTGGCTATAAACATAAAAGGTCAAGTTTTGCATAGGGCTCCTTGACTCTAAAGCATGAACCAGTTAACTTTGGTAAAGCTCCTCAGTCTCTCCAGAAGAGAACCCAAACCTCCCAACAGATTATAGATGTTGAATTCCTATAAGGAAATTCAAATTTTATATCTGCCACGGGGTTTACTACTCCAGCTCTTTACGTGGAGAAAAAATTAAGAAATTAACACCTAATACAGAGACCATCACAAAAGGCGGCTCTTAGAGTTAGTATGCCATTGCTCCAAACAGGTAAGATTATGAAACTGATATAATTAAACCCAATTCTGGGGATAGGGATAGTTAGGAATTGTTCACCTTATGAATGGGTACTTAACATTTATACTTAAGTCTTTCCGGTTAAAAGGACATTCAGATGTGTCTTGTAAACTCTTAACTATAGGGAAAGCGTAACAGGATGTGTTGAACTAGATTCAAGTGGCATAATACTTAGACACACATTCATAGGGGAACAAAGAGAAAAGACATAACTGAGCCAGGGCAGAAGGTGGAGGGAAGGGGTGCATCCACGGACACACAGATTTGGCTGCAGTCAGCAACCCTTTTCCCCAGGAAGAGGAAACGGAGGTCCTATCTGGGATCTAGCCTGGAAGCGAGGCCCGCAGGTTAGAAGGTGCGGCCAGGAGTTGCACTCTAGTGGACAGCTTGCAGAAGTAGGAAGTAGACGGAGCTGGCCAGAACACGAGCCTTGGAAGTCCCATGGAGGCTTGAGGTCCACAGGAGGTGAAGGCGACGGCTGAAGTGTGTCCAGGCAAAGTGTTAATACTGCCACAGGTCATCCGTGCATGGTTTCAAGCCAGATTCTTGTGTGGCATTTTTACTCACTTTTGCACAGAGAGGCAGAGCCTTGCCAATGGCCAACTTGGCAGTGAGATGGTTCTCGGGAGAGGTAGCAAGAGAAATCTAAGATTCCCTCTGTGGATGAGAGAGGTCTCAGGCACTTTGGTGCTGAAATGGTTTTTGCCAAATACAGCTAAGCACCCGATCAACTTAATGCTGCTCTGTGCGTCTCCCAGGATCAGGAAAGGCAGAGCCCACAGTGGTTATTTGGTCAAGTACTTGGGAATTTTTATACTTGACTGCAAAGCACAGTCTGTTTTATGTACCACACTCACAGTAAGAAGCCCAGGACTTCTCTTTATGCTCGGTGGCCTATACAAACCCATTTTGTAAGAAACTAAACTAAACATGTTCTCAGTCTCTAGTGTGCAGGCATTTTTGTATTTTCATGGGATGTTCGATTGGCCTGAGAGAGGTTCTGTTAACCCCCTTGTTATCACTGGGGAAACAGTTTCATGATTAAGTGATTTGCCCAAGGTTGCTAATGAATTTTAGACAATACTGCAGTTACCCGTCTCCCATCACTGATACAGTGCCCTTGATTCCTTACATAAGTGTGAAGGAAGATGTCATCTCGAAGGCAAGCGGAAGTATTAGTGGTCAAAGGGACTTTGGGATCTAAGTAGCATCTACATGTTTCCCCGGCAGGCAAGAGCTGTTTGAAATGCATCCTGGTCCACACCTGTAACTCTGTGTTGAGAACAGTGTCCACCCACTTTACTTCAGGAAGCCTTAGACAAATCGTCTGGTCGAGTTTCTACATCTGTGAAGTAGATTCACCTGTACAGTTGATTCTTTTTTTTTTTTTTTTAATTTTTTTTTATTTATTTTTGGGGCAGAGAGAGACAGAGCATGAACGGGGGAGGGGCAGAGAGAGAGGGAGACACAGAATCGGAAACAGGCTCCAGGCTCCGAGCCATCAGCCCAGAGCCCGACGTGGGGCTCGAACCCACGGACCGCGAGATTGTGACCTGGCCGAAGTTGGACGCTTAACCGACTGCGCACCCAAGCGCCCCTGTACAGTTGATTCTTGAGCAAACAGAGGTTGGGGTGCCCTCCCCCGGCAGTAGAGAATCCACATATAACTGGGCTCCCTCAAGACTTAACAGCCTCTTGTTGACCAGAAGCCTTACCCATAACAGTCAATTAACATATTTTGTACATTGTATGTTTTATATGCTGTAACCTGACAAAATAAGCTAGAAAAAAGAGTTACTAAGAAAATCATAAGAGAAAACACCTTCACAATATTGTACTTATTGGAAAAATCTGCACCTAAGTGGACGCATAAGTGCAGTTCAAACCTGTGTTGTTCAAGAGTCAACTGTACTTGGTTTTAGAGTCAAATGAGAGCATTAACGGTTTTTATAAATTTTCAACAAAAGCGAGTACTAAGTTTGTAGGTATCAGAGAGTGGTAAAGAACTAATACTTGAACACTTGCTACACTGCAGAAACTTGACCTTTACCTGAAAGGTAAAGATTCGAGAGAGATCATTCCCGTTTGCAAGACTGAGAAACCGGTTCAGAGCAATTAACTACACCTCAAAGTTAGTGACAGAGAGAAGATTCAAATTCAGAACCTCTGACTAGAACTGGGGCCAGGCACACGGGGATTAGAAAGTTTCTGTGAACAAGCCACGACCTAAATCACTTGGGGCCTGTACTGACGTCCACCCCCGCTGGTGATGAGTCTGCCAACACCCACTAACAAAACCAGATGAACTCTCCCAATTAAAAAAATTTTTTTTAACATTTATTTATTTTTGAGACAGAGAGAGACAGAGCATGAATGGGGGAGGGTCAGAGAGAGGGAGACACAGAATCCGAAACAGGCTCCAGGCTCTGAGCTGTCAGCACAGAGCCCAACGCGGGGCTCGAACCCACGGACCCTGAGATCATGACCTGAGCCGAAGTCGGCCGCTTAACCGACTGAGCCACCCAGGCGCCCCACTCTCCCAATTTTAAAGAGCAGTTATTTTAATAAATTACCATTTTAGCACATGCAGTTACAGTAAGTTGCAGATGTTAAAACAGCACACAATACAATGTATAAACCATTTTTATTGAGATGTTCCAGCTCCTGTATTCATCAGGTTAGTCAGTTTGTAAAGTTAACAGTTCCTGTTGAAAAAGAGACTTGAAGTTAGAGAATACCCACTATAGTAGTTTTGTGGCAGGGGTTGGGGGGGAGGGGGGGTTAAGATTTTATTTGTAAGTAATCTCTGCACCCAACATGGGACTCAAACTCACATCCCCGAGATCAAGAGTCATATGCCCCACTGATTGAGCCAGCCAGGTGTCCCTTAATATATATATATATTTTAATTAATTATTTTTAAGTAAGTTCTACACCCAATGTGGGGCTTGAACTCATGACCTTGAGATTAGGAGTCACGTGCTTTACTGACTGAGCCAGCCAGGCGCCCAAGAATACTCACTATGTTAAAACAAAGCAAAACACAGAGGTGGTCAAACAACAAAGATGTTAGCAGAGCTCACAGAGGGATGTAAATTGTAGGGGTAACTCCAGCTAACTCTAATGACATCCCACCCCACCATATGACTGAGCTCCTTGTGGAAGTTCACCAAAAGCTGAACATCTAGATTACTATTTCATGCATATTTCACTTCAGTTTGAACTAGAGATTGAACAGAGTCTAAACATAAACAAGGGACTGGACATCCATTTGACACACATAATGGCATCATTCACCAATTACAAAAAGCTCTGTAACTTACCACTGCCTAGTTTTGCCCAGCTAGGATTTTTCAGAAGGGACCTTCTTTCACTGTACCCCACAATCTGTTTTCCCCAAAGACACTTCCCAGGCATACCTGCTCGTCATAGGCTTCATTGACAAAAGTCTCACTATTCATTAGATTTTCCTCTTCTTGGCCATTTTCATTATGGTGGGTCATATTTCTTGATGCTGCTGTACTATTTCTAAAAATCAAAGAAACAGTCATCAGAGTTGTTCCTGGAGATTGAAGCTGGGATTGGGCTATGATTAGAAAGGGCCAACTCATCCCCTGCCAAACAAAGGCTATCATTATGGAAATGATGTTCTATTTTGTCTTTTGAATGAATCAAATGATCTAGAATGGGCAATACTTGAGTCAATTATGATTTGTTACCAGGCATTCACTTAATTTCCAAAATAATACATCTTCTCAACTGGGGGAAACTAGGTAATTGGGGTCAATGAGAGATCAGACATAGGTGACTTAAGAAAGCAGATTAATGGAGCACTTGGGTAGCTCAGTGGGTTAAGCATCCAACTTTGGCTCAGGTCATGATCTCACGGCTTGTGGGTTCAAAACCTGTGGCCCTGCACTGGGCTTTGTGCTGATGGGTCAGAGCCTGGAGCCTGCTTCAGATTCTGTCTCCCTCTCTCTCTGACCCTCCCCCACTCATGCCCTATCTCTCTCAAAAATAAACATTAAAAAGAATTTTTTTAAGTAAACATTTTTTTGAAAAGGCCAATTAATGTGGTAGAAAGACCTGAGGTGACCATCAGTATCCCAAGGGTAGAATTTCAGTCTGTTTTAACATTAGTAAGCTATTAGCCAGTGTTACCTTGGGCAAAGATACACCATTTCTCCTGGCCTTCTCTTCATTGTGTGAATGCTGGACAGAGACATAACTTTTAAAACTTTCCTTCTCTCCATATTTCTTGATACACAGGCTGCTTAATGTCTCGGCCCAGTATGTGTAACCTAATCAGTTTCTTCAGTTTCTATAGCTTCCTATACTTAAGCTGATTTTGTCATCCTTTCTACCCTTAGCCAGCAATTTGTTATCCTTATTTGTTTCTTTACTCCTGTGACTCTCTTGCTTTTAGGCAAAACTTTTTGTTTGCTTTAAATCTTTCTGGAATTGATTTCACCTCCTGTTAGGGGCTGAGTTGAGTCCTGTCCAAATTCAAATGTTGAAGTCCTAATCCCCAAGCACCCCAAGAGAGTCTTTAAAGAGGTAATTATGCTAAAGTGAGGTCATTAGTTTCGGCCCCAATGCAATATGACTGGTGTCCTGATAAGAAGAGATTAGGACACAGACATGTAAAGGGAAGACCATGTGAAGACACAGGGAGAAGTCTGCATCCATAATTCAAGGAGAAACCAACTCCACGGACACATGGATCTCACACTTCCAGCCTCCAGAACTGAGAAAGTAAATTTAAGACACCCAGTCTGGCAAACTAACACACCTCTGAATTTGCCTCCAAACAATCATTGGCACTAACTCTGCCTCATTGGTAAAGAATCTCATCACTTCATCCCTGAGATTATTATGCCACTAATGGCTGTTGAGGGCAATCTTACCTCCATCAACGCCTCATACATCCCTTACAATCTCATTTGCCCCAGGTCTGACTCAAAGACGTTGCCTCTGTTGTTTTTCTGTAGGTCATCTAACAGGTGAGGGCTGCTTCATCACCCAAATCCTTTCTCAGAGGACAGGCTTCTAGGATGGAGCCATACCTCCGACCCCATTAATCTTATTTTATAAGCCTTCTTGGGAATAAACTCTCCCGTGAGGACATTAATAACTGCTCACCTTTTTAATTTGTGTTCTCTTCTGAAATAGACAAATGCTCCCAGAGCTACCAGGACAACTGATAAGGCAATGGTTACGCCGAGGGCGATGTGGCCAGGGGCGGGTCCATGTGCTGGCTCTTCACAGAACTCTCCACCATATTCCATCAGACAGCTGCACTTTCTCAGCTCTCCTACCACCGTACAGACTCCCCGCCCATTACAGTAGTCGGTGCTACACGGCAGATGTTTTGCCCTCTGTGAGTCCTTGAGATGAACAGGCTCGCCTTTTCCCTTGGTCTCTGAGGTCTTGCTTTCTCTAGCAGAAATTGGAGGGATGGGTGTTTTTCTGAGAGGATAATTCATCCCTTCTGGCCCCAGGTATCTAGCCTTGGGAGACTCAGTAGCTTGGAGAGGTAGCTCAGCTTTTAGGGTCCACCTTTTACCGGCCTCTGCATTTTTCGATGTTGGTGCTGAATGGGTTTTATCTGGATAGGTACCTACAAAAACAGGTAGGAGTGTGGGTATATACACATGTGTGTCAGTTGAGAACTATTTCAGAAGAGCAAGAATTCCAGAAGACTTAACCAGAGAAGTCTGAACTTATCATTACCATAACCTTTGGACAGAAAATTAAAAACATACAAAAACCTGCATATGGTAAGACACTTAAAATGTTTGGTTTCAGGAGCAGCCTATCATACCAATCTATTTATAAATGACGATGTGCCCATTTTTAGCCAAGGTAGACCACCTCCATTACCAAAATGTTTTATTCTATAAGGAATAGTGTGGTGGATCTAAATGGTAAATCTCTAGAAAGATTTTTAAGATGTAAGTTTATCTGTAAACATGATTTTTTTTTTTGAGCCCAAGTAAACTGTTGGCTTATCGAGATCTACTAGCTGCAAATATTGGACTGGACTTGGTGGCAGTGGTGGGCATGAGAGGGTGGGCAACAGGGCGCTTCTCACCAACAGTCTGAAAGTTGGGTTTGTGTTGAAGACGTTTCACCATATTCTCCATCCCTGTTGGCACAAGCATTATTCCACACGAAACTGCTAAAGACCAGACTCCTGGGAGGGAAGACAGCAGCACCTGCTGTCTCTGCCTTAGCTGGTGTTACAGGCGTGTTTCCGCTCCTGGGCAGTTTAGGGTCTTTGACAGTTGGGTATATCCAGAGGAAGCCAGTCTAGCTTTATGTGCCTAATACCATCCCCTCCAAAGAAGATTCATGTGAAAGTCAGGGTGAAATACTGATTGAGGAGTAGAGCCAATGCTTTGTCATCAGGACGGGAGACAGGAGAGTGTATGTTAGGTTTCCAGTTTAGTTTTAAACCCAGATGGTGAGGGCAATGCATTTCTCACTCACTGACATGTGTGCTTGAGTCACTGTAACACAAGGCGTTTTGTAAAACCATTCTCACTCACTAGACCATAGAATCAACTCTGGGAGTCAAAACCTATTAACTTTCCAATTTAAGATGAATTGATTAGGGATAACAACTGGTATTCCATCTAGTCAGCTTTCAGGAAGATGAAGGTTTAAATTGAGCAATAAGAACCCTTGGCTATAAGATTCCTTTTCCAGTTTGTTTTCTTACTAGTTATGACGGGTTTCAGTGCTGAGCCCACTGTTTCTTCAATTCTACAGCTCACGTGACTCGAATACCATTGGAGCCAAAGCTGTAGATTTGAGCATAGTGGCTGCCACAGAATTAGATATCACAGTCGCTTAGCTGACTGGCCAGGACAACAACTTTCCATGAAGGCCCTATGTGGCAGCAGCATTTCTGTAACGACCATCTACCACCTAGCATTTAAGAACTAACATGACAACAGTATGTACTAAGATGGCGGCTTTATTTGCATGCTCTTGTATTCCTTAACTCTTTGACATAGAAAAGTGCTTTTTCCACATTAACAGCGGGGAGCTGAACCAAGACAGGTCAAATCGTTTGCCCAACCTCCTCCTCCTGGGCTATGCTCACTATGTGATCAATTTAAATGCACAGAATCAAATCTAGATTGAATGAATGTTCTTTCAGACAACATACAAACTGTCGGACTCCTTGCAGCTACCATAATGCCTGTTCTAAAACTGAATGGGAGGACACATTAGCTTTCCAGAAGGTGTCTATATAATTTGATATCCAATTTCCCATAGAAGTTTTATGTTGTTGTTCAGTTTAAAAGTGCCTGTAATAACAAGGCTATGGTCTAGAGGATAAAAGCTTGAGGGATACTACAGAATTAGATATTAAGAATTAGATTGAGATATTAAGAATTATTTTATTAAATATTGAAAGTACGTCATGCATGGTGATGAACAGTGGGGTCCTGGATAGGAATTACTCACAGCCCATTTCATCAGATCCATCCAGACAGTCAGCATGACCATCACAAACTTGCTTCATGGAAATGCACTTCTGACCATCCTGACAGGATTGTGATGGCTCAGAGCACTGGACAGCTTTAATACATCTGCTTATGTTAGCCAAGTAGTACCCACTGGGACATTTACAAGTCGGTCCTTCAGGGTTTGGCAAACAGATATGGCTGCACCCTCCATTGTCCTTTGAGCAGCTGTTACTACCTGTAGATACCCCCCCCCCCAAAAAAAACACATTGATTTAGATGGTTTCAGAAGGGTCTTCTGCAGACGTTCTACAAACAGACTATCAGAGTTATGGGACCCAGATGTTTTTTTCCAGAGTAGATAGCTTTTTAGTTTAACACCTTTTGGTCAACCAGGTGCTGAGTGTTTGGTGATTCTTCTTCATGGATAATGATGACTTCAGAAGGCTAAGAGTTCAGACAAGTGAGAAGCTTAAGAAAAATCGCGCTGAACTCTGGCCCATCCAAGACCCCCTTGTGAGTTCTCCTTTTTCCCTCACATCAAGCACCCAACAATAACACTAGAAGGGCCTTAGAAATAAAGCTGTCTTTAGATGAAAACATGAAGGCTGTGGTGTCTATTCTCCCTCTGTAAGATTCTGAGTAGAAGTCAGCCATTTATAGCTGATCATGGTTTTGCAAGGCTTAGATCTTAAGCTTTAACCTCTAGTAAGGTTTTATTTTGAGATATTCCAGGAATAGTAGACTAGGTATGTATATAGTGCAGATAAAACTTGCCTCAGGAGTGACAGGGACCCTTCTGCTGCTTCTCAGACCTAAGCCACAGATTATTATCACTTGGGTGACCATTAATCCACACTGAAGAATTCTGAAAAGGTTCTCTCTGGAAAGCCTTCAGAAGTTTAAGCCTGACTAACACCAGTTTTAGTCATGTTTGGCTTTCCAAAGCAAAGCAATGGGGCAGCAATCACTTAAGACCAAAATACTCAATATACACGGCAGTGGTAGATGTTAACTATTCGAGGTCACATTGTTGGTGCTAATCTCAACTAGGAAAAGACTTTTATCTATTACTATTTTAACTAAGCCCATCATCACTCTACCCAAACACTGGAGGAAAGAAAACATCTGGGCACCCCCAGGTTGGTATTCCAAGGATTAGTTAACACCACAAGTAGATACAAGTGACAACAAGTAGAATAAAGACCAGTTCCACTGCAGAGATAAAAGACAATTCCCATTATACCACAGATGTAATTCCATCCACAATAGAACCCAAGTATATCAAACCCCAGCCCCATATACTTACCACTGTGTTTTATCTCCTCAATAAGTAACAGGACTAGTTATATACCAGAACTATACTGCATAGAACTTCATAAAGACAAGAGAGTTATGCAGATCCACAAGAATTTGCCAAAGTAATTTAATGGGAAACACAGAGTTATTTCAAGGAGATATTGTGGGATGGAAGGTCCCCTTCGTGGGGGAACCACAGCAGGCTTCAGTGTTGTCATAATTTTTGCTTACCCTTTTGACTAAGTTTGCTGGAAACTTTTAAATCCACAATCTTCTGGTCTGTTTGGAACCACCGGTTTTCAGAAAGTTCTGCCTTGCTGTACCAAACTTTAGTGATTTGGGCTGAAAGAAAGCCAGTGAAATATCATGAAGGAAAGCACATTTAATTTTTTTTTTTAAGAAAAGCACATTTTACTTCTAAGACAACTTCCTGTGCAAAAGAAATTGCTCAGTATGGAAACTCTCACCCATCTGCATCAAATCCAGTTGAGTAACAAGAGTTTTACCAGAGAGACAGGTGTTTTTCTAAATCTTGTTTCCGGGAAGAAATTTAAGATAAATAAAAACAGTTCTATGCCTTCCTCCAAAATAAAGTCAGGTGTAAATTATGTTGAGCACATTCGTACACATCCTGATATACAAAGACAGAAAATTAGGACATGAGACATTTAAATGTAGCCCATGCAAATAATGGGTAATGATTTTAAACACTGTTCTAAAACATTTCTGAAAATGGTTTTCTGTGATAAGTATCACCAGGGGATCTTACAACAGAAAGCAAAGATCTCACTACATATCTAATAAATTAGCATCTCTGGGGTAGGATCTGAAAACTTGTTTTTGCAGTTGTGATGTGGCCAGCCCAAGTGGTCAATGGACCAGCATTTGGAAATTATAAAAGAGACAGCTTTTAAATAGCGTTTTCTAGTTTTACTAAATCTGGATGCTAGCCAGAAACGACATACTAGAACACTGTGGTTTAGGACAATCGCTTTAAATTCTAGAAATTCCCTGCAAGTACAGAATGTTCTGTAATTCGCTTAGTACCTCCATGCATATTTAGTCAAGTGAGTCATGTACTGTCCTCATTTTACAGGTAAGGTGTTATAGCTACCAAGCAGCATAGCAGTTATACTACCTGGTTCCAATTCCTGGCCCAGTTCTCTCTGTACCATATCACAATGTCCTCTAAGGCAGAGAGCTTTTAATGAAAGCCAGACATTTCAGGTAGAACAGGATTAAGCCTGTTCGTATATAAAGAATAATATTTTTTCACATAAAAGCTTCCCCAAGTCATAGAATCTCTGTTACATATACATGTTAGATTAGAGAAGTTGCTTAACTATTCTTCCAGAAGAAAGACCCTACCAAAGATCAATGCTAAGCATTAACAGATTTGCTTTAGAGATCCAGGAGTAAATTCAGATCACAAAGACACCCACCATCATCAACTGTTGTCCAGAACATCATGCCTTGGCCATATGTAAAGAGGTTAAGGCCCTCAATTCCTCTGCGGTCTACTCTGTATCTAGAGCCATCTTGTTGAATACTTTCTATGAGTCCTCTCCCTAGAAAGAGAGGCTTAGTTAATCTCACTTAGCCTAAACAACCATACTCTATCCTGTAGCTCTTTGGCTCTTGTCCTGCCTCCCCTCCAGGAGGATATGATCTACCATGCATTTTCTGAAGGACAGCTCTCCTTCACTCACTCCAACAGAGATACACCATGATTTGCTCGTGCACATTTGTTAAGTTCTTGATTTTATTCCTTCACAAAGGGGCAACTGCATGATTCTGGGGCCTATTACTTTCTACTCAGAATGGGGAATCATTGTGTTTGTTTGGAAGGTGGTACAGAATATATAAACTCAGACCTAAATGCTATTTGAAGGTCTTCATGGCTGAAGACCAGAAAGCAGGACATCACTATTTCACTCTGGCCAAAGAGTCCTTCGGACTCACATTTAGGGCATAGGTTATAATTGCTTACCAGTGTCAGCCCAGTACACTCGGGTCCCCGAATCCGAAAAGGTCAGGCCTGCAGGGACCTGGGATTTCTGCCACAGCACCTTCCTCCTGCTGCCGTCCATGGAGGCACATTCAATGCTGGACCCACGCCCACCATCCTCCTGGGAACCCAGGTCCACAAAGCACATGACTGCAGAGGGTGGGTGGAGCACAACAGAGGCAGGATGGTAGAGGTTTTCACTGAACAGAACAGTGGGACACTGACCTTCTGAGGAAGCTACATTGATGTGGGGATTCTCACTGTCAATCCAATATATGTTTCCACTCAACCAGTCCACAGCAAAGTCGATCACAGTCCCCTCCACGGATAGGATTTTCCTCCAAGAGAGTTTTCCAGATTCTTTGAGCCTCAGTAGGCTGATATCACCATTATCCAACTCTGAAAGGTAGAGAGCCTTTTCTTGGACTAGGTAGTCCAAGGATGCAAGCTGGTTCACAGTGGCAAAGGGAAGTATCCTATGTTCTGGTAAAGTTGGCTGTCCTAGTAACGCTTCTAGATTTTTCAGATAAATCTGTGGGGAAAAAATTAGGTGGATGGCACCAGCTGAATCTAGTGTCATTCTTCACCTTGATTTTGCATTAATGTCACGCTGCTTGGAACATATGAGAGTTTGAACTTATCTTCTAAAAACCGATAGCAGTTATTTTTCTCCCTTCATGGAGCTTTAAGCACTTAAAAGTCCTTGAATCCATGGGTTTTAAAGAGGTACTCCTTCATTAAATGCCCTCCCCTTTATTTTGTAAATTTTTGAACTATAATTGACCTATGACATTTGTGTAAGTTTAAGGTGTCCAAGGTGTTGATTTGATACATTTATATATGAAAGCCCCTCTCCATTAAATGAGACTCCAGTATTAATATCTTACTGAAACTGAAGTCAGTCTTTCACCCCAACATTTTTCATTTTCATCAGCTTCTTTGAAAGAGAGACAAAGAGTATGTGTGTGCACACACACAAGGGGCAGAGAGAGACAGAGAGAATCCCAAGCAGGCTCCACGCTACCAGTGTAGAGCTTCTTGTGGGGCTCGATCTTGTTACAAACCGTGAGATCATGACCTGAGCCGAAATCAAGAATCCGATGCTTAACCAACTGAGCCACTCAGGCACCCTTCAACATTCGTCACTTTAAAGTACCAAAGTTGACAAATCGTCTCTATAGGACAGAAGGTAGAAGTGACTTGTTTGTTGGTACCTCCTATGATTTAAGAAAAGTTCCCTCACAAAATGTACTCCCCCACCCACTCACCCTCCCCCACCAGGCTAGAACCCAGCTGAGCTGCTTGTATTTAGAATTATTCCACACCACCAGTGAGATGCTTAGACAACTAAACGAGATTAATCCCACTCTCAGATCCCTCACCTGTGTTCTGATGTGCTATTTCTTAAGAAGTGGTCTTCATTTCATAGCCTCTTTATTTTGGTCTTTATTTTGGTCATGATAGCTCCCAACACACAGTGAATGCTAGAATTTAAATTGTATTTGAAGAATATCCCAAGGGGGTGGGGGTCGTGCCTGACTGGCTTGGTTGGTACAGCATGTGACTCTTGACCTCAGGGTTGTGAGTTTGAGCCCCAGATGAAGTGCAGAGACTAAAGAATAAAAAATTTAGGGGAGCCTGGATGACTCAGTCCGTTAAGCATCCAACTTTGGCTCAGGATATGATCTCGCAGTTCATGAGGTCGAGTCCCACAATGGGGCTCTGTGCTGACAGCTCAGAGCCTGAAGCCTGCTTCGATTCTGTGTCTCCCTCTCTCTCTCCCCCTCCCCTGCTTGTACTCTCTCTCTCTTGCTCTCTCTCAGAAATAAATAAACACTAAATAAAAAAAGAAAAAATTAGAAAAAAAAAAAAAGAACATTCCAAGGGCAAGGGCCCCTACTATGTATAACTTGCAAATTACTCGGTCTGAAATGGACTGCAGCCCAGGCCCAGACACGTAAGGCTGTGGAACAGTACCTGCATGATAACTGTGGGCAACACAAGGAACATAAATGCAGACTCCTCGAGTGGAACGCAGGTGGTGCCATCGTCTGCGAGCAGGAGTCCAACTGGGCAACGACAGCTTCCCTTGGGGCGTGGGCTCAGAAGGCACAAGTGAGAACATCCAGCGTCCAGACAAGGATTGGTAGACTTGGGCTGGAGCACTTCATGCATGATCTGGAAGAAAGCAGCCAGATGTTACTACGCATCACCGAATCCTGACAAATAGCTAATGAGTAAATCTTGCCTTCTAATCATGACAGAAGGATGTCACTAGTTTGCACTTGGGAAGTTCATACATATGGCCTTTTTAGGGAGACTGAGGGGCAAACTTTGAAGAGTACACTGTAGACCTTGAGTCCGTACGGCTGTTCAGAACGCTTGATGAGGACAGCCCTGTCCTTGCCTGTTGTCTTCTTCATGCGTTGTACAGTTCTCGTCTTCATCTCAGACCAGAAGACTTCATCTTCAAACACAGCGACCGAAAAGGGGCTCTTGATTCGAGTTAGCTGCAGCATCTAAAATGGTGGTGATGAGGTTTCTGGGATGAGTTTTATACAAGGCATAAGACATTACATACAGCCTAACACCAAGGGACACTTACAGTAATACCAGTGCCATCTAGATTAGCAGAGCCAATACAGTGAAATTTGTCATCAGACCAGAATATCTTCCAGCTAAACTGGTCAAGCGCTATGCTGGTTGGCGAGCCAAGACCTTGATCGATGAGTACTTTTCTGCTGCTACCATCCATCCCGGCTTGTTCTATTTGAGGTTCTCCTCCAATTTCAGACCAGTACATTAACCTATACAGATGAAAGTCAGCTTTAAAGTATTACCTCACAGAAAATATTGATTCATTCCTTAAAACACTGATCTCTAGCCCAATTATTTTTTTTCCTCAAACTTGGTCTATTCCTTATGTGAAATTGTGAAGTGGTTGGGGCGCCTGGGTGGCTTAGTGGGTTGAACATCCGGCTTCGGCTCAGGTCACGATCTCACAGTTTGTGGGTTCGAGCCCGCATAGGGTTCTGTGCTGACAGTTCAGAGCCTGGAGCCTCCTTCGGATTCTGTCTCCCTCTCTCTCTGCCCCTCCCCAGCTCACGCTCTGTCTCTCTCTGTCTCTCAAAAATGAACAAATGTTGGGGCGCCTGGGTGGCTCAGTCGATTAAGTGTCCAACTTCAGCTCAGGTCATGATCTCACAGTTTGTGGGTTCAAGCTCCGCGTCGGGCTCTGTGCTGACAGCTCAGAGCCTGGAGCCTGCTTCGGATTCTGTGTCTCCCTCTCTCTCTGCTCCTCCCCCCCCTCATGCTCTGTCTCTCCTTCAAAAATAAATAAAAACATTTTAAAAAATTAAAAAAAAATTATGAAGTGGTAAAAGAAAGTTTCCCTTGAAATTTTACAGTGCTTGTTTATTCATTACTTGGAGATAAAATATCATAACAGCTATAGAAGCAGCCAAGGAATACCTTAGTTCTGGGCCTGGAAAACAGCCAGGGAACCTGCCGATCTTCTCTGGGCGAGAAAGTAGGCTAGTTCTATGGGAAGATGCGTGCCTTAGACCTTATTAGTCACAATTGAAGCCATTAGATGCATCAGGAACTATTGCCAATTTCCTGAGGACCATGTTAACAGATTCCTGGTTGAAGGTGTTGAAAGGGTGAGAAAAGCAGAGGGTCCCTGATATGGGTCACCTTTGGATCCTAAGTTTTGCTCTATCTTGTTCTTACATTTGATACACACATGGCCATCCCAGTGAAGGTTTGGCTCTGACAGATACAAAACATGGTCTCTAAGTTCTTGGCCCTTTCCACAGAGAAAGGACTCTGGATGGAAGAACCTAGATTCAAGCCCAACACATAATTATTTCCTCCACTAATACCAAGCACATCAGTATAAATTAAACACTATCCCTAGTTCCATTCTCCTTCCTCCTGCCATTTAAAGCCATAAAATAATATACCTCTGAATGGAGCATTATTTTAGCAGAAGAAAGTGTAGGTGGGCCAGCAAGTGAACATACCTATATCTCATTTCACTGAAATAAAGGACTTTTACCAGAAACTTTTACGATTACCATGTGTATGGTTGACCCACATCACCATAAGATCTAAAGTCAAGTCAGATAGGTTTTTACTCACTCATTCTGTGTTGGGTGAACACAACCAAGGTAGAACTAAGGAGGAATGACAAACCTAAAGGACCTCACTGGCGTCGTGATCCCCGGACTCACCCGTTTAGGGGATCTAAAGCCAAAGACTGTGGTTGAGTCACGTCATCATCCAGGACAATCGTGTGCTCAGATTTTCCTCTCCAGACGGCAGTCAGCCGAATTGCCAAAATCTGGCCAGCTGTCCCATCCACCCAGTACAGATTCCTTCCGATCCAGTCGACCACTATACAGTCTGACCTTATCCCTGAAGAGAGGAAGCCATTCAACATGTGAATCGAGGTTAAATTACAGCCTTTACTGGGTTTTGGCTCCTAGGCTTCAGGCTTGAATGTCATGTTAATTCATTTTCCTATGAGTACCTGCATCCCCATCAGAGGAATCTTTAAAATACTCCCAAGTTCTACTCCTAGAGGAAGACGGCCATTAGAAATAATGGCCTCTGGCTGACAGTTTGGCCCCCACTGTCCTCTGGGGTGACAACGCATCTTTCCATTTCCAGCCAATTAGCAGGCTTTGATCTCTTTTAGTGAAGAAGATTTAATGAAATCAGTGTTTAGAATGTTAATGGCCACTCATTTTATTTTTCATGCTATATGTAATTCACAAGGGCAGCATGAAGTCTGCGCAAAGGGACATACCTTTCACCATGGTCCCTTTCTTCTTGGTGTCCATACTTATCCACTTAATACTTTCCGTACCGACATCTGTCCAGAAGACCTTCTGCCCCACTAAGTCATAGTCAATAGAGAAAATCATCGTGTTCTTGTCTACTGTTGCCAGAATATCTTCCTTCAAGCTCCTCAAGCCATAGAGGAGTAGGCTGAACTGAATTGCCACAAGCAGGATTGGTTCGGTACCTGCCAAATTAGAACCGCTTTCAGCACGGCCTTAAGGAGTTTGATTGCTGAACCCAGCATGGGCTAAGGAATAAGAGAACAAAGTCGTCTTTGCCTTCTCACTGCCAGGGCTGGGACACCAGCCAGCTGGTATGTAACTAGTTCTCCCCTCGATGTTATTAAACTTGAGCTAATACCCACAGTTCAAAGATACTCAGAAGAAAGGCATGGCTAGCGTAAACTGAAAACAATATTTCTAACTAAGGATTTGTGCATGGTGGGCAGGAACAAAGTGCCTATTGGAACTTTTGACACTCATTCTAACTTCAGGTAAGGCTGACCGGTGGCAACAGAAGCCGGAGTTGTGGTTCTGTTATAAGGATGCCTTATCTGTAGACACCTTCAGACTCTAACCCAACCTAAATGGCTACGTATAAAAAGGGGGCTTGGGGACCGTGCTAGTCCTCCTCTGCAGACAGAAAGCAGGCAGGGGCATTTAGGACTTGAGAAAGGAGATTTGCACTTATTATTCCTGGAAAATTTAGAAGCTCAAAGCTCCTGATCCGGGGCTGAGGAGACATCCGGGCTCCAGTTTACCTGCTGCTTTACAGGTATGGCCATCAGGCTCCAGGGAGTAGCCAGGGTGACAGGTGCAGCCATAGGAGCCCTCGGTGTTGACACAGGTCTGACTGCAAGGCTGACCACCTGGCTTCTGGCACTCATCCACGTCCTTGCAGACTTGGCCACTGCTCTCCAGCTCAAAGCCTCGCTCACAAGCACACACCTGAATGAGTTTCAAAAACATGAAGACTTCCTGAAGACATCGATACGTAACATTGATGAAAAGGCCTCACCTTGCTATTAAAAGCACATGGTGATACACTCAATTTCAACAGCTGAAAACAAAAAAGTTCTTAGAACCAGCTTCATTTAAAATTTTAATGTTTATGTATTCTTGAGAGAGAGAGAGGGAGGGAGAGGGAGAATATGAGCTGGGGAGGGACAGAGAGTGAGGGAATCTCACGCAGGCTCCACACTATCAGTACAGAGCCCAGAGCAGGGCTCGATCTTACAAACTGTGAGATCGTGACCAGAGCTGAGATCAAGAGTCCGACGCTTAATTAACTGAGTCACCCAGGTGTCCCAGAACCAACTTCATTTTAAATATAGTCATTCTCGGGGCGCCTGGGTGGCTCAGTTGGTTGAGCATCCGACTTCTGCTCAGGTCACGATCTCACGGTTTGTGAGTTCGAGCCCTGCATCAGGCTCTGTGCTGACAGCTCGGAGCCTGGAGCCTGCTTCGGATTCTGTGTCTCCTTCTCTCTCTGCCCCTCCCCAACTTGTGTTCTGTCTCTCTGTCTCTCAAACAATAAGTGTTAAAAAAAATTTTTTTTAATATAGTCATTCTCTGTCTTATCAACCTTGCTGCACACCTCACACCCTTGCCACCACCATGGTTCCTGAATCAACAAAGGGGTCCAAGTTCAGTCCATGACACCCCAGAACCCCAGTAGAATCAGTAAGAGGCATGGAGACTTAACTGGCAGACCGGCAGTCTGCCAACAGAGAGACATTACTATGATGGGACATCAGAATACCGTCTTCTTCTACTTGCCCATCAGAGTCAGGCAAGTTCATGATGTTCGGCCAACTACTAATGCCAGACCAGTGCACGGGCTGTGGCTCTCCTCAGTTTAAGGGCAGGTCACATCCAAATACACACATGGAAGGGACTTCCTTCAAAACTTCTGGCTCAGTCCCACGTGTCCCCCTGAGCTCACAGCTCGCAGGCAGTGGAGTTTCTGCAGGCTGGAGACACGACATGGGGAAGGCGCTCAACGGGATTCCCTAGGAGCTGGCAAGGACTCAGGGGACATCAGAGGATGGGTCGGGGCGGCTCTGCCACATGAGACTTAGAGCCTCCGGAGCAGTCAGGGACAGCCTGAGTGAGGACGTAGCCCCCTTTCGCTAAACCAAGTCTACGGCTGCTGGAGAAGAGTAGCTGGACGAACTCACAGGCCCATGCGGGGACTGGTAGCAGGCGTGGGAACACCGTGCTCGGCTGCATGCTGGCCACGCACACTGTCCACCTTCGTCGGAGCCATCGGGACAGTGCTCCTTCCCATCACACACCAGGCGGAGGTCGAGGCAGGCACGGGAGCCGCACTGGAACTCAGAACTCTGGCACTTCTCGGGGGGGCCTGGAGAGGAGGACTTTCTACTTTTATAGTCCGCCCCCGACCCCCGAACACCCCTCCTGCAGCAACGACGTGCCATCAAGACGCCTCCATTCTGGTAAGGGGGTAGATGTCAGTGCCCGCACCGCTTGCTTGTGGAGCTGGCTTCTCACGCCAAGAGGAGGCCGGCAGCCGGCGCCCCTGAGGCCTCCCCCGCTCAACTGGAGCCCCTGCACTTACACCCGGCCTCGTCACTGCCGTCCCCGCAGTCTCTCTGCCCGTCACAGCGCCACGCGTCAGGCACGCACCGCTCCCCGCTGGCACAGGACCACTGCCTGGAGCCACAGCGAAGCTCCTTGGGGTCACAGTCCTGCGGAGACAGTGGCTCCATCAGCGACACCTGCATTCAGAGCCCAGGAAGCGGTTCTCGGAGGGAGAACAGGCCTGGGTTACGAGGCAACGCTCAGGTCCCCTCTGCAATGAGGCCAGAGAAAGCCCCAAAACTCAGAGAGAAACGCTCTCAGTAGCCAGAGTTTAGGTGAGGAGTTCTAGGTAAACTGAACCTGGGTGGAAGTGGGAAGAAAGGTCTTCGTTTAAGAAACCTAAGAATGGGAACACCTGGGTGGCTCAGCCAGTCAAGTGTCCGACTTCAGCTCAAGTCAAGATCTCTTGGTTCATGAATCTGAGCCCCTCGCTGCGCTCTGTGCTGACAGCTTGGAGCCTGGAGCCTGCTTCGGATTCTGTGTCTCCCTCTCTCTCTGCCCCTCCCCCACTCATGCTCTGTCTCTCTCTCTCTCAAATATAAACATCAAAAAAATTTTTAAGTAAAAGAAAGAAACATAAGAATGTGCTCTAGAAACTTTCTTTAGATTGTTTTACCATATCAAACCCACACCCTAGCATGTTAAAAGTTATAGCACCAATTTGCACCTAATCTACTTGGACACTCAGATCTGGGACAAGAGGGGAGGGGACATCTGTACGCCTACTGTAGCCCCGAACCTTCAGATGCATTCTCAGCCCCTCGGGTACCAGCAGCCACATCTTTTACACATTTGACAGATGAGGGGAAAAACACTCAGGAATAAGTACTTTCTTAAGGTCCAACACAAGCCGTAGGATTCTAGCCAGGCTGCACCTCACATACAACGTGGCAGCCTCAGTGCCCCTCATGGTGACAGGTGAGCGGAGCTTCTGAGTGGGACACTTAAGCCACAGCCATTAAGACCGAACATTTGAAAACCTACAATAAAAACCTCTTAAACATTTTTGTTTCAACAGGAGATCTTCTCACTTTGGACACTTCAATGTAGTTACAAGTAACTTTCTGAGCAGTAAGGAGGAGAGCCTTCTCTGTTCTTGTATTTTCTCAAGTTTTCTAGAGGGAAGCACATATTCCTGTTGTGAGGAGAAATCTGTTCTTCTAAGTTGCTTTTTTTTTAAATCTTTTTTAATGTTTATTTATTTTTGAGAGAGAGAAAGACAGAGCATGAGCAGGAGAGGGGCAGTGAGAGAGGGAGACACAGAATGCGAGGCAGGCTCCAGGCTCTGAGCTGTCAGCACAGAGCCCGACGAGGGGCTCAGATTCATGAACCAAGAGATCTTGACTTGAGCCAAAGTCAGAAACTTAACCGACTGAGCCACCCAGGCACCCCTAAGTCTTTTTTTACTGTTTGTTTATTTGGGGTGGGTGAGGGGCAGACAGAAAGTGGCGGGGGGGGGG